TGCGCAAAGCTGGCAGCTGTACCTTTAAACACACACCCACACATATTTCTATTGATTTCAGAGGAAGGGAGAGGGAGAGAGAGAGATAGAAACATCAATGATGAGAGAGAATCATGGATCGGCTGCCTCCTGCACACCCCACCCTGGGAATCGAACGCACAACCTGGGCCTGTGCCCTGACCGGGAATCAAACTGTGACCTCCTGGTTCATAGGTCAATGCTCAACCCCTGAGCCGCGCTGGCCGGGCTGAGCTGTACTTTTTTTATATGTACGGGTATATTTTTATTGATTTCAGAGAGGAAGGGTGAGGGAGAGAGAACCATCAGTGAGAGTGAGCTGTCCCGTTTAAAGGTGGTGGCGGGTGACGTCAGAGCCGCCACATCAGTGTTGAATGATCAGCAGGAAGCCAGGGCCTGGGCGCCTGTGGGAGGCGGGCGGTCGGTCAGGAGCAGGGCAGTGAGGGGGCCGGAGAGTGGGCGCTTCCCGCTGGTCTCACTGTCACAGACGAGGTGCTCATGGCCGCCCCCCTGAGGATCGCGGACATGACCTCGGGGCTCATCGGGGGAGAGGACGGCCGCGTCTACGTCTACAACGGCAGGCGCACCTTCTCCGGCGACATGACGGGCAAATGCAAGTCCTGGACGTCCCCGTGTCCAGAGGAGAAGGTAGGGTTCTCGGGCAGAGCGCAGCCCGGGTCCCAGGCGGCTCTGCGGCCTTGCGGGGTCGCGTCCGCCCTGGCACGCACCGTCTTTACTGGTCAGGACACGGCCCTCGGCTGCGTTTTGAGGCCCAGCCGCCTCGTTCTTGCCCCAAAGCTCGCTGCTGGGTGGACCTGGCGCCCCGTGAGCCCTGGCCCCCCTGCCGCTGCCTGGCTCCGCCCACTGCGCCCGCTTCCCCCCTGCGTCCTGGTCCCCCGCCTCATTTCTTGGGCCTACAGCTCCTGGCCATACCTATTTTCCAATTTAAAAGTTATTTTTTAACTTGAAAAAGTTAATGAAAGTTTATTGTAAAAATTTACACAAAATGGTACAAAGAAAAATGAAAGACCGTCTATCTCGAATTCCACTCTGCAGAGATAAGGCCTGCGAACCTTCTAGGATTTTTCCCTAGAACTTGATGATATAGCGAATCCACATCAAAGCTACTGGGTCGGCGTCAGGCCCCTTTATGTGGAGAAAGGAGAGCAGGGAGGCTCCCGGCACCTGCGGGGAGCCCAGAGCAGATGGGAGCACAGCCCTCCCCCGCCGGCCACACTGTGCGCATCTCCCCCCCCCTCCCCCTCCCCACTACGTGCATCTCCCCCGCTGGCCACACTGTGCTCCTCGCCACACACAGCGCTGCCCTGTGTTTGCTTTACCTGCCAACGTGCAACACGTTCCAGTGCCTCCCCAGCGTCTCATTTATGTTTAGCGGTTGTTGTGTATTTTATCTGTAGGCGAGCCGTAGTTCATTTAGCCACGTTGTATGTAATATTCACATATAGACACTTTTACGCACGTATTTTTCTTTTTTAAGTATATTTTTATTGATTTCAGAGAGGGAGGGAGAGGGAGAGAGAGAGAGAAACATCAATGAAGAGAGAGAATCATGGATCGGCTGCCTCCTGCACACCCCCCCTGGGGATGGAGCCCGAAACCTGGGCATCTGCCCTGACCGGGGATCAAACCGTGCCCTCCTGGTTCATCGGTCACGCCAGCTGGGCCACATGTGTTTTTTCTGGCCTGAATTCCTCTAAGTGGAATTCCTGGTGTCGGAGAGCGTGCACATTTTAAGGCTCCTGCAGAACGGGGAGGCGGAGCTCAGGGAGAACTGGCTGAAACCCCACGTGAATGTAGGAACTGAGTCTCCCTCCCTCACCGTGTCTTTCAGGCCCAGCACGTCCTGATTTCCCCGGAAGTAAGTACCCCGGGAGTGAGGGGAGCTGCGGAGGCCCTGCCCCTCCTGGGAGCTGGTCCGCGGGGGGCGCGTCCCCCAGGGCCTGTCACCGCTCTCTCCGCAGGCGAGCTCGCGGTTCGGGAGCGGCCTGGTCACCGTGCGGTCCAAGGACAAGGTGGGGCCAGGGCTGGGCTCCGGCATGCTGTCCCTGGGCTGGGGTTTGGGGGTGGCCTCATTCAGACGGGATTGTGTTTTTACTTGGGAAAGAGAGGAACACCCCTCACCACACACACACCCCGTGGGAGAGCTCCCTGAGGACAATGGGGCTCACAGCTCTGTCCCTTCGGTGCCCGGGGAGCGCGGGGCTGAGGACAGGGAGCCGGAACCAGGGCGAGGCCCCACCTGAGCTGTTTCTGCTGCCTCTGGTGGGCTGGGATGGCGTGGGTGAGGGGCGGGCCCTCTGGTGGGCTGGGACGGGCACGGGCGTGGGTGAGGGGCGGGCTCTCTGGGCCCCAGGCGGGCAAGGCAGCCGAGGTCCCGGCCCATGTCTCCGGGTCCTCTGACGACTAACGCTGTCTCCCCAGAACCAAGTGGTCGTGGCCGCAGAAAGGAGCTCTCTGGGAGCCCGACTGGCCGGGGCGCTTCACGTCTACAGCCTGGACTCAGACTGGAGCCCTGCCCGTGTGCCCGCCGCCCCCGCGGACACCGGGAGGACCTGCTGGAAGGAGGTGAGGCTCCCGGGAGTGGAGACACACGCAGCCAAACTGTCTGGAAACGAAACAGCGCGTCCGACTGCACCACAAGCTTGCGGCATCGTGGGCACCGGCCGCTCTCCTGCCTAAGTTAACCCCTCAGACAGCACGTGGTCACCGGCGCGCGGGAAACTAACACCCGCGGCCGACGGATTAAATGCTCACGGCGAGATTCTGAACGGAAATACCGTCTAGAGTTCTAGTCTCATTAACACACATCTGAACTTACAAGTTTAACTCAAAATTACCTTTATTTCAAGATCTCAGAACACATTCCCATATATTGGCAGTTGTTGGTTCACATGTTTGTTGGAATGTTTGTCTTGCGCAGTTTTCTTCAGTGCTGAGGGGCGGGAGAGCTGGGGCTTACAGACCGCCCTGATGGTAAAGGTGGGAAGCGGGCTTGCCCATTAGACCCCCTCCACGGGGTCGCACAAGGAAAAGCCAGAACTAAACTGGGATTTAAG